GCTGTGGTTATGGTTGATGGCATTACAATGTCTTCACTATCGCTGCCTATCCTTCTGGTTTCCTTCTTAAAATAAGACACATATGGTAGGGAAGAGAGGGGGAGGGTAGGAAACAGAGGGAGGGAAGGAGGAGGGAGAGAGAGAGACTGACTCCCATCTTGTGTCATGCTATGTTTCAGCCACTATTCTGAGACTTCATGGGTGTTACTGCATTAATCCTACAAGTACCTACAAGGCAAGTACAACCACTGGCCATTTTTTTTGCAGGTGAGAAAATAGAGGCAGAGAGAGGTAACCTGCTCAAGATTGCTCAATTTGGCCATTGTGACATAGGCTGATATTGGTCACCTGTTCTTCCATGTACTTCTTAGCACAGTCTCTGAGTTTACTCACTGCTGTCTGGAAGGAGAGAGAGCAAAACTATCCTGGACCAGGTCTGTCATGGTCTCTGTACACAGTCACTCTCACATTCCTGCTCTGTAGCTTTGCAGCCCACAAAGTTCATCACAGGCAAATTACTTGTTCTTGTCTTTCAGTGTGTCTGCAAGACCCCAGAAAGTCAATTCTCTCCACTCCTTCAATGTGCCCCAGTCCCAGTTGTGGATTTCCATGACTCCTCTTTTTATTTGATAGGCAAATTTATGTTAATTTTAGACAAATGGTAAAATTGTATGTATATCAAAGACTTGTTTTAAAACAAAATTCTTTATGATTTATTATCAACATTTCTGCTTTTTTTCTCTTATGTTGTTAACATGGTTTGACTTGTTAGGGACTAAACTCAAATTCTACTTACTGTCACTTAAGGGTGACTTTTCAGTAGGAAACAGATGCCTTAGAGGAAAATAGCTTCAGGACCATGGAAAGTTCCCAGAAGGCATTTTCCGGAAAGGCAGGACCATGAAGCTTTTCAATGCACAGTTCTTGTGATCCTACTCATTTGGTCCTCCAACTCCACACTGCCCTTAAAAAAGGCCACACTTTCTGTGCTCACTGTGTATGAAGACTATGTGAACCTGATGTCTACCATCTTTTTCTGTCCTTACTGCCTGGAGGGAAAACAAATGGCCCCAGGAAAGGGACAAGACCAGGATAGGAGGCTCCTGTGTGTGTCCACTTGCAGAATTCCTCATGTCTCCCTCCTATAGGGGACAAATTTTGCCACCCACAACTAACATACAGAGGTCCTATATTGTCCACATGTCTCAGAATGTGACTGTCTTTGGAGACCAGACCTAACCCAAGATGACTCTTATAAAGAAGGGGGATTTTGGACACACACACACACAAGAAGATGGTGGAGAGAGGGGTGTGAGCAGCCCAGTAAACCTGCCAGCTGACATGTTTCTGAGAACTGAGACAGGGCCTGGTAAGATGGCTCAGTTGCTAAGAATGCCTGAAAATCTGTGTTTGATTCCAGAGTTCACATAAAAACGCTGGATACAGCAGTGCATAGCTGTAATCCCAGCATTTCTATGGAAACATGGGAAGCCAAGATGAAAGAATTGCTCAGGAGCTTGCAGGACAGCTTGACTTTAGTAGCACAGTGTGGCAGAAGCAACAGGAGAAAAAAAAATAAAAGAAGCAACAGGAGAGACCCTGCCACAGAGTATAGAAGGAAGGAGAATTGATTCCTGAAAGTTGTCCACTGGCTTTCATGAGAGGTTACTGTTTAAATTAACAGGCTGAGGAAAGACGTGGTGCATGCACGCCCACATTCACACACACACACCCCACACTAAATAAAATTTAAAGACTGAAGAAAAGAATTGTGAGGCAGTAACATTTTGCTGTCTGTTAGGGGCACTCTGTTATAGCATCCTGGGTAAGTGAATATAACTTCTCTCAAGGGTCTGTGTACCATCTAACTGTCTCTTTTCCACAAGTGCTCCATTTGGCTCCACACCAGCCAGAAGATAATTGAGGGTCATGGGGGAAGGGTGTTCCAGACAGAGAAAGAATTTATGCAAAAATCCTGAGGCAAGAAGGGGCTAAAATGTTGTTGGCAGTACAGGAAGCAGGACAGTGTGGTCAGGATCCCTGGAGCCCAGAGGGTGGAGACAGGACAGAAGAGGAGCTTGGATTTTAACTCTTTTGGTTTTTAGGCTGGCTTTTATATCCTCTGGCTAGTTTCTTCACCCACTCTTCAGTACATATGTCTGGAAAGAAAGAAGCAGGATCCAGCCCCACCCCACTGCCGCCAGAAGCAACAGGGAAAAAAATCAGAAAATAGTGAGGGAGAGGAAAAATCATTCCTTCCAACCCCTGCTGAGCATGCAGAGTGAGGGACATATGGAAATTAATATATTCGGCTCTGATAACATGGTTTTCCTCGGCGTTTTGATTAAACGCCGACGGTTATTAAATACCCTCCTCCTCTGTGCTCGTCTCCGAAAGCCAATGTTGCTTTTCATTTTGTTCTCTGATGAGCTGTCTTGTGCTGCTCATACCCTCTGCTGAGCCTCAGCCCACTGCAGGCTTGTATTGGAGGAGAACAGAGAAAATCAATAAGAGAGGTCAGAACACAGGCCTCCCCAGTTGGCAGGAGCTGGGGTTGGGTGGCTTTGGAACAAAGGGAGGTGTGCCCTGAAGAAGGTCAGCCTTTTGGCCCAGTCAGGAAAACGAATCTATTTCTTCTTAATTAGATTAACAGGCTGGTGTCTTGCAATGAAGAGCTGGGTTAGGCTGGGGTGGGTAATGGGGGCAGGTTTGATGAAGGCTTGGAATGCAATCACTAGCTCCTGGACTCCTAGGGACTGGCCTCAGGACTTTGATCTTGTAAGGGTGTGTGGCACCAGGACTGGAGGGAGGAGCAGACTCTGAGGGCTTCTAGATGTGTGTCCAGACAGACTTCCTACTTCTGTGTATATAGGTGACCTTTCTCCATACTCTTCTTTACATTTCAGATCAGCAACCATTGCCTTGTAAGGTCACTATGATGCTAACCAACAGTACAACATGCTGCTGGTTCATGCTTTGTGATTTGTTTGTGATTCTCTCATGGTGGCAGGTGACTTTACTCTTCAGCCTGCTTAATTTTCTCTGTCAACTTGACTGGTCACAGGTGCTCAGCTACTTGGTCTGACATTCTTGTGTTTCTGCAAAGGTGTTTTGGGATAACTTTAACATTTAAATTAATAGGCTGAATAAATATTGAGCTCTTAATGTGGATGAGCCTCCCCAATCAGGTGAAGTCTTGATTGGAAGAAAGAGTCGCTCCTCTTGTGAGTGTCAGTACCTCTCTCCACCTGACTGACTGATTTGGGGTTGTGATGATTACTGGTTGGAGTTGAATTGAGACACTTGGATCTTCAGCCTGGTAGCATGTGGAAGGGAAGACCGTCCCTTCTCTCAGAACTTCAGCTTTCTGAATGCAGATCTCATGACTTAATCTTCATATGTGAGCAAGTTCCTAATAATAAATCTCTTTATACATGCCACCTGCTGTTCCCCCTTCTCTGTAATACCTTGGCTAGTACAGTGAGCTCTAAGAGACAGAGAGAAGTATATCTGCTTTTGTTCATCCTTGTGTCTCCAGAGTTGGATATAGTGCTTGGCATATGGTATGTACGTGGTGAATATGGGGCCTCCTGTACCTGGCAAAGGCGTAGGGGTTCTAAGTATCTTACAGTGACAGACCTGGGGGGTGGCTCTGGAGGAGTATAGAAACCATTCTGCTTGCCATCTCTTGCTCCCTCCTCATGCACAGAAGACAACAGCCCTGCCTTATTCATGTAATAGTGTTGATCCCTTTTGCTCACATGCTCTGTGTGGACTATGGGGCTCAGGACGATTGCCTGAGGTCAAAAGTATTCCCCAAGTACTGTTCTAAACCATTCTCATTAAAAAACCTTTGACAGCCTGGTCCGTTCTCCTGCTTGAGGTTAGGGCTCACAATTTTTCCAGACCATTCACAGTTTATTCTTCTGCATTCAGGACTCCTGTGGGCCTGCCTGACTCTAACGCCCAGGCTGGTATCTGCCACACTGGCTGTGAGGGCCTCTGAGCTTCTTGAGGCCCCTCAGGGATATCTCTAGGTCAGTAGTCCACCCACCTTGTTCCATATTCACTTACCAGAGAGGACCAGGCCCTCAAGGTCGCTCATGTCATCTCACACTCAGTAGGTCCCAAGCTGAACACAAATGCTTCATGCCTAGTATGACTTCCTGTAGCCTCCATCCCACATGCCATTCATGTCAATCACTGGCTGTGTCTTTTCCCCCTCCCCCAACCCTGCATTCAAACCCCTACCTCTTTCCTGCTTCTCCTATCCCAGTGGTTCTCAACCTATGGGTCACAACCCCTTTGGGGGGGTCACATAACCTGCATACCAGATATTTATATTACAATTCATGACAGTAGCAAAATTACAGTTATGAAGGAGCAACAAAAATAATTTTATAATGTGTCTCTGTGGCGCAATGGATAGCGCATTGGACTTCTAGTGATGGAAAAAATAGTTTTATGGTTGGGGGGTCACCACAATATGAGGCACCGTATTAAAAGGGTCACAGCATTAGGAAGGTTGAGGACCACTCTCCTATCCCTTCCTCATCCCCTTTGTATCCTCACTACCAGGTCCCTTACAGTCCAGCAAGTCTGGTTAACTCTGCTTTCAAGACTTATCTGGAATTCTCTGCTGCTGGCCATGCCACCCCACCTCCTTGTCCATGGCACCCTTTAACAGTTCCTTCACTGTTTCCTAGGGGCTGCTTCCTCACAGCAGTGAGTGATCACCACAAAGAATTCAGCTCAGCTCACAGTGTTCAGTCCTTGCTGGCAGGGTTTTCTCTGCCTCTGCGTGCTTCCAACCTGATCATGGAGCTTCCCCTTCTCAGGAACATTAAATCTGGGGCTGACTCCCAAATCAGCTTAACACGTGTGATTTCTTTACTCCCACTGTTAAATGAGATGGAAACCTTCCAGGACCCCCCCCCCCCTCCTCCCAACTTTCAGAGGCCAGGGCACCTCACCTCCATGGCTCTTGTGTTGATACTCACACTTGGTGTGCCTGTCACACAGGGCAGATGCCCGCATGTCACACAGCCGGATTGTCCCCTTGCTGCTGCTGTATACAAAGGTGTTGCAGTGATGGGGGTGGAACTCAGCTGCTGTGATCACCTCTGTGAGCTCCTCCATGTTGGCTGGCTTGATGTCCACAATATCTGGCACAGACGAGTCAAGGAAGAACGAGGAGAGGGGGACCCTTGCTGTGAGTGCTATGGGAGCATTCACCATGCACAGGGTCATCTCACTGGGAGGCTGTTAGCAAAAATGCAGACAGCAGTAATTTCTGGCAGCTGAGACTCAGGGACTTTAAGGGGTGGGGGCTGCCCCGTAGTCAGAGGTAGCATTAGAACTTAGGTCTAAGCTGGGGGTGGTGGCTTGTGACTCTAATTACTGAGCTCAGGAAGCTGAGGCAAAAGGATTGCTATGAGGTGCAGTCTAGTCAAACACTGTGAAATCCTGTCTCAATGAACTTATGTTTCCTAACTCCTTGTCTCTATTTCATCTTCTGTGACACATAGATGATGAACTCATACTTGCCCATGAGATCATTTGAGTGTTTCCCACTCTATAGCAACAGCTAAGGATCCAGCTAGGTCCACTCTAGCCAATTTGTTGAATTTGAACTCTTACTGGGATCTCTGGGCTGATAAGTGATAACTGTAACAGGCTCCAAACCCTTCCCCGTGGACTATCCATCTAACAGCAGCAGCTGCCACTCAATGAGGGTTTATTAAAGAGCCTCTCAGGGTCCATGCCCTGATCTTTGACTCATTTAACCCTTATAACAACACTATCAATAACACTTTTTTACAGCCATGTTCAGGGCTGCAAGTGGAGCCTCCATGAGCATTCAAGAAGTTACTATACGAGACATGGTTAATGGGCTGGAGAGATACTCAGGTGAAGGTCTTTGATGGTAAGCCTGGTTAACCTGAGTTTGATCTCCAGGACCCACGGGGTAGGTAGCTTCCACAATCTGTATTCTGCCTTCCACAGGCATGCTTGAGGAACATGCCACAGGCATGATTGAGGAACACATTCACTATTCACCTACTTTCTCTATTTCTGTCTGTCTGTCTGCCTGTCTTACTCTGACACACACACACACACACACACACACACACACACACACACACATACG